GTAAGTCTTGTATAGTAATCATCTGATTTACATGTCATATGCTAGCGCATAACAAGACCGCAGCATACCACGATGCACACAGTCTGCGAGGGTCCATTCATCGCTGCAGCTTTAATTCATTCATTGTATTTATAAATCTTGCATCCAATTATATATCCCAGTCCCAATCCCATACTAACTATAAACGTAACACACTCCTCATCTTAAGTGGGCTGGTGGATAGTGCCAACAATGTTACAAAACATATCATATAATATTGGTTGTTTGACTCAATGATAAGTGCTTTCACCCCAAACACTGCCAGGTTTGAGTTTCTTCAGTAAAACCTCATACAGAGTTTAAAATAAAAAAAATAATAATAAATTCCTGTAATATTCCTACGAGTACACAGATTTTTAACTCTTATATATAATATAATTTCACTCTTATAATATTCCTATTCTTGTTGGATATTACATATATTGTATATATTTTAATGTGAATCTTAAAGATCCCCTCCAGACATGTATTCAGATGTATAAAAATAGTCTGCTTGGAACAATAATGAAATTACAAAAACATATACTACTTCTACCTAATTTTCCAGAATTTCTGAAAATGCAAATGTTGTTGATGTCTAAAGTTTTCCTGCTGGACACAAGATGTCTCCTACCTCCTATTACACTGTACAAGTTGCATACTGGACTGACTTCAAATCCCCCCCATAAATTCAGATGTTCAGTGAGCACAGAGAAACTTTCTACTTTCAGCAGATGAATGTGAAAACCTTCTAGTGTCAAACTCTGCACAGACACCATTCAAACATCTACAATCAGGCTAATACAGTAGTAGTAGCCTGATTAAAGCTAATACAGAAACTTGAGTAAAGATTATTTAGTCAAATGTATGACCTAAGACAAAGCATTTGGGTGAGTAACTCGCAGAGAACTTTTAAGTGCACTGGAAATAACTGACATTTTAACTAGCAGTGGTTTTCACACAGTTCAGTGGAAAGCCCATTTAAAGGTGGCTTAATGCTTTAAAGGTAAAGCATGTAAAAATCTCAAAAATCTAAAAGTCTCGGATGCTTTGGTAAGATGGGTACTTGAGTTAGTAGTAGGTATAGGAGTTGACATCTAATAGTACACAAAGGTTATTATGCTATACTATAAGATGTATAGTAAGGCCACTGCACACAAAAAACTGAATCCCCACTGTTTCAAGTCCTGGTTTCTGTAGCCGACCGTTACCCCTGACCTCTGACCTCCTCAAAAGTAGAGAAACTTAATGTATATCAAATAACATCATGTTCTTTAAATTGTCAGTAAAAACTCACACTCTCCTCTGAAAATCACTGTCTTAGAGCAAGTTCACCTATTTCTTTCATGTCATTACAGAGCCCCCTGCTGGCCACAAGAGGAACTGTATCAACAGGTAGAAAATATATTGAAGAGTCTGAATGTGGTTCATAGAGGAAGACTAAAGGAAGCTCCGCAGATCAAAGAAACGTACTGTTGTTGTTTGGAAAAAAAACTTAAATTATATGACAATGGTTTAAGAGGATACTGTAGTGACAGTGTGGGCACTCAAAAGAGAATTAAGAAGAGAATTATGAAAATATGTGTACTACTACACTTCCCATTATGCATTTTGATAAAGTCACTCTACTGTTGTTTTGCATTTCAAACTTCATGCCTCCAGTTCCTAACTTCTGTTGTGAATTTATAGTCTCCATATCCACGCTGAAACAGCCCTGATGACATCACTATGACGTCACCTGGGTTATTTCCTCAGACTTAATAAAGCTCCTGTGTAGTATTCCTCATAAGTTAAATAATCATAATGTGTGGAATAGGTGGAAAATTGCCCTAATATATCTAAATAAAATGAGATAAAATGAACAGAAAGCATGGGCAGAGACAGAAGAGTATGACATGCTACACAGGATTCTAGTCAGGGGTGATGAGACCTCCAGGACCCCCCTGGCTCATACAGATCTCACAAATAATAATAGTGCCAGGGATGTAGCAAGTTTGCTGAAATGGCTGAGCCCCTGAAAGGCTCCAGTGAATGGGTCCTCTCGGCTTCACTCATATCAACACATGCTCACGCTCTTTTCACCATAAACACATGCATGTAAACTGAGAGAGACTAGGCACTGACACACACAGGTGGCACATTGATGCTAGCTGCCTCTTGGCTAGTAACATTAACTGTAACGTTAGCCTCCTGGCTATCGTTTTTCCCTTCAGCTCCATATTTTCGTTCTACTTTCTTTTCTGGTGTTATAATTTATGTGCAGGGAAAATGGAAATTCACTTCAACATTAGCTAGTAGTTGGTTTAGCCAGCAGTTAGTGTAGATTGGAAGCGGTACACTTTTGACGTTGTGTACAAAAATGATTTTCAGGAGAGGGGGCTACATTTTACACGTGTTGTGTTTTGTTTTATACGTATGTTTTGGTTTGTAGACCCCAGGAAGAGTTTGATGTTCTTTACCTGACCTCTGCCTATACAAAGCTCTTCTCTCTACATTTGTGAAGACAAAAGGATGGGGGTCCAAGAAGAAAGAAGAAATAATATGTAATGGTGAGTAATTTGGTTCAAAATAGCTTACAATTTCCCCTTTTTCCCCTCTTACTGCCCTGAGTTCACATCAACTTAACCAAATCTATATTTGTGGGACAGAATTAGACAGAATTATTTGCTGAACTAGTAGTGTAGATCAGTAAACTGAAATGAAACTGTAAAACTGAAACATTTTTTGTTGCATTCTGTCACTAGTTTTTCAGAAGTGATCAGTGTGTGCTGTGATGCCTCTTTTTAACAGCAGAGGGAGGCACAGTAACATATTATTCCTTCAGTCTTCACAAGTGTGAAGAGAAGAGCTTGGTGTTGGCAGAGGTCAGTTAAAGAACATCACATTGTAACATTATATAGTAAAGTATATATTGTATATAGCATTTTTTAATAACCACTTATGGTTTTTGCATTTGTAGATTTTCTCCCTTTAATACCAATTTTTCTGATATTTTTGGAAAGACACATGGCATCCATCCATATCTGATGAGGACAGTCACTCAGTCCTTAACACTGTACTAGCTCTCCTGTTAGCATGGCTCAGTCATGTCAAAGGAATTCTTGACACTGGATATGACCTACACTTCACTGACGACCCCTGAGGAGAAGTTGGCTGCTTCACTGGCTGTAAAACTGGTTTCTTAGTGAAGTTTTTTATGGGATCTTCTGCCTCATTAGACAGAAAGTCAGAGGTACCCAAATGTTGTCTTTTGAAGGCAAAACAACAAAATGTTTCTAACAAGGAAAACCTGGATTTTTAAAGATGTAAAGAATGACTGAAAACAGTAGCTGAAGTAATTTGTGAATGTATACTAATGAATAAAGTCTTGGTAATTCATATAACTATTGTGCTTTATAATATTTGAAGCAGAGCAGAGGACATCAGATACCTATAGATGACTGAAATAGAACACTAACTTTGTCTGAGTAGATTAAACAGAGCAAACACCAGCCTCTGTCATCCTGAGATCAAACAACCACACCTTGATACATCCACAAGAATTTGGCTTCAAATATTTGAACAACACTAAGGTGCGCTTGTATTACCTGGTCAGACACAGCTGACTGAACAGAACATGTATTCAAATCAGCTAATCCTTTGTATTCACTCAAAGGATAAGGCTGGTGTTAACTCCGTATTTTTAGTATTTATAGTATTTATTTAAGTAATTCCATGAAAAGACCAAGCAAATAATGGATTATACCATCTCTTTTCTGACTTCCCTTCACTGTCTGTGGCCCCGATTTTTTTACATTTCTTTAAAAGGCTCGGTAATTTCCTAAAACAGCTGGGCACTGTAGTTTTTATCAAACACTAGTCAGACAGGAGAAAAGTGCATTTACTGGGGACTATTTTCAGCAGCGGATTAATCCACATNNTTTGGGGCAGCAGGACGGTGTATGCGGGATTGAGTCAAAATAAAGTACAGTGTATGTGTTCATGGTAGCAAAGGAACATGTGACCCAGTGCCACAGTGTGACTCACTATTTTTGGACAACAATGGAGCTCTATGGCACAGAGGAAGAACATATATCAGGGTTTGATACACTTGTTAGCAGATACATTCACTGCTGGTTTGGGTATTTTCATTGTTGCTTTATAAGAAAAATATAGAATAGCATCAGACATATGTTTAATAACAGTATTATTAGTATTACTGTTTCTCTTGGTTCAAAGTAGAAAAGTCACCAATCACCAAAATCACCATTTCACTTCAGTGTTTTACTAAGTCAGTGTTGTAGTTTATTGTTGCTTTACAGTAACAGTCATCAGTTGTCACAGTTTATTTTAGCTCAGTTTGTCAGAAACACTACCTTAAGAGACTACACACACACACACACAAGTGGCCCCATTTACACCTGGTATTAACATATAATCTGAATGCCACAAGGGTACCTTCTGTGTTAAACCAAAAGGGGCGTGACAAAATAAAGGCAGTTTCTTATGAGCTGGGATGAGAACGTGTTGCAACAGACGTGATGCAGCCCAGGTCAGGCAATGCCACAAATAGACATCAGTCATATTGAGATCACTTTTTGCAAGGTAAGACTTGCTAGCAATGGCTACTTGTTGTAGTATTTGATGGGCTTTCTTGAGTTAGCAGTAAGAGGCAGCAACCCTTCAGGCCGTTGTTTTTTCTTAAAGGTACAGCTTGTAGGATTTAGTGGCATCTAGTGATGAAATTGCAGATTGCAACTCACCACCCACGTCTGTATTTGACAACTTGGGAATGAGAATGGGAAGTGTGTAGGTGGAACTAGGGCCACAAAACTTGTGAAAAACACAAAATTCCCCCAAATTATCTTGGTTTGTCCATGGTGGTCCTCCATCCTAAGATAACAAAAACATAACAATTCCTATATTCAGGTGATTATACCTATGAATATTGCGCATACGAGCAGAGTTCCTTGATGAGTTCAAGCGTGATAGCGTAACCTCATGAACTATTATATTCCATTTCTGCCAATAGATCCTCCTAAATGTTACACAGTGGACCTTTAAGAATGTGTTCAAGCTTTAAAGCTGTACAGATGTCATTAACACCTGGCTGAGATCCAATCACAATCTGAGCCTGACCGTCTCCAAATGGGGTCTGGCTGACTCAATCACATTCTGATCCCAATGCATTTATGCACCTCATCCAGATAATGTCAGATACAGACAGCATTTGAATGCCAGGTATAAATGGGGTTGATATACACACACACACACATAAAAGCTGTGCTTGTAACTCTTCCCACTTTCTAAAGCAGTACTTGGGAGCAGTGGAGCACTGATGTTAATGGGAGTTGCAGCTGCTAATAGTCCATATTTTGTGAAGACATTCACTGTCATCTACATTTGAACATTTTTATTTAAAGAAAAAAAGATGAAAAGTGTTCAGAATTAAATTCTTTACACAATGACTACTTGTTCTGACACACAGATAATAAAGACAGTGACATGAACACTATTAATGATACAGATAAGAATAACTGGACCATATCTGATTGGACTGCAATCAACACTTATAGAGAATCTGCAGAGAGTCCAAAATGATGCAGCCACTAAAGACAAACAGTGATATTCAACATGTAGACTGTAGTTTCAGTTTGTGTATTCACCCAGTTTGAACAGGAAAATGTCTATTTGATTTGTAATCATTTACTTGTACAGTGTGTATGTGACCATCAACACTAATGATGAACACAGCAAGCAACGCACAGATTAAAATTCACAAGGCTTTGGATGAGCAGGACACTGATGCAGCAAAACATTTCTATCAGTTTGATATGTGACTGTTGAGCAGTTAGAGGTCAGGTGTGTACATGTGAGATGTCAAAATTGATGTAATGTGAACTAAACCCATTCTGAGTGTATGGTGGGAGGTTCAATCAGCAGCTGACTTCAGATTTTCCCCCCATGGAGTGCTCATACACTGCTGCGCTCACTTCAACACCAGAATATAACTTAAACAGTCTTAACATACTCATTAAAAAGTAAATATTAAACCATATTAAACCACTTTAATAGATGGAAATCAATGTGAACCCAACCACCAACTCAATACCTCTACACACTATGTATATTCTCTAATAGGCTGACATAAAGCTAGCAAATACTATACCGTTAAGTTACTCTATAGATGAATCTGGCGCATTGTAGAGAGTATGTTCAAGCGCCATTACTGCAGTGGCAGAGTGGAACTGAACACATTCACACTGACAGTGAAAGCAGAAATGTTTGGTTTAACATGACCATGATTAACAGTTTTTTGTCTGAGCACCAACAGTATGTCACTTTTTCTGCTTTAAAATAACAGCTTCAAAATCCTTCTGAGGCTACACTGATTTTGAGTGTCTGTGCCCTGTTCCTACACTATGTGACTTTTGGCTCTGGGCTGGGATTGCTTAACTCTAATAATATTACTTTCCTCGGTAACTAGTGGTGTAACTAATTACTAATACATTTCAGAAGTAATATTACAGTCAGTTATTCCCCCCCCCCAAAAAAAAGAAAAAAAAGATCTTGTTAAAACCATACTTTTGTTGGCACCCCCTACTGATCTGAAATCCAACAATCCAATCATTTTCATTCATCACATAAAGTGACCGAAACATAAGGATTTAACAATAACAGAGTTTAGGAAAGAAAAAAAGATTTCCTGGAGCAGAAGCTTGTGGCTTTTACTTTCTGCTTGTTGTTGGAGCAGCGGATGACTACATTTTACTGAAAAGTGTTGTATAAAACCTTTATTTTAATGGCATTTGATGATATTTTCTACATATAACAGCTGCTACAGCGTCTCTTGGACTGATTACTTGGCAGGAATGCTTATAAAGTGAAATCATTTACATATGTTACAGTGTTGTACGAGGGTTGCCCAGAGAGGTGCAACCACAATAATGGCGGATTGTTTTACTTCCTCCTACAGTTCAAATTCATCTATAGAAATTTGGCTCTGTTTATCTTTCTGTTTTATCTGTAGTTTTTAGATATTTCCCTTTCATGTTGATTTCAATTTCACATTCAACTAACTCAAAACAAAATACTCAGTTAGAAATACACCAGCCTCAGGTGTATGCACATAATATGTATGCAGCACGTGTGTGTATGTTGAGTGTGTGAAGCTGTGTGTTTCAGTGTCTCTGTTACACTCTTTCTGTCAGTGCAGTTAAGTTTAAATGTGTGTCAGTGTGTGTGTGTGTGTGTGTGTTCAGGGACATCTTGTTGTTGGTTCATGGTTCCTCTTGTTTTTACAGCAGAGCCCGTTGTAAATCCTCCTATCATCTAATCTGATCCCACACACACACACATTTGCACAATAATACTCAACATTAACCTACAGTACACACTCAGGCTCATGGAGGATGCTACTCTCACAGATACAGTAAGAATAAGACAGGGAGAGGTTATGCAGAAGACACACTTACACACACACACACACACACACACACACACACACAAAAGCGCACAGTAAGGGTGTGAGATCAATAGTTTCTTTGTCCACCTTCAGTCTGCAGCTGATCTATAAGCACATCAACTTTTGCTCTGTCTCTCTCTCTTTCCCTCTCTTTCCGTTCCTTTCTTCACACCTCTTCTTTCTCTTTCCTGTAACGACAGAGAAATATGGATCATATTAAAAGAAAAGAGAAACCAGATGTGCTCTACAGCGGAGTATAACTTCAGAAAGAGGGGAATGTTGAAAAGAGAGAGAACTTTTATTGCTCCAGTGTTTCTGTATCCTGTACACTACGGTGTGTTAAATTAGACGTTTTACAACTTTTCCACTTCATTCAGATTGCAGAAAAAACCATCAACTGTAGCAAAGCTACTCCAGAGAAAGGTGTTGATGATATTTCCATCTGCAGTGCAGGATAAAACCTGGTGGGCACATAAATACATACCAGTCATCAGTCAAATGAACATAAATCCTCTGCCTAAATAAGATTCCATTACCTTTTCAGACTTACAGGAAAATGATTGTAATATTATGTATTTCCTCAAGCTACAGTATATTAGCCTGGTTATGCACTCACACACTGGTTAATTTTTTTAATCTCTCAAAAATGGCAGCCCACAGAACCAGCGCGTGGTCAGCTCACGAAATGCATCAAGAACGCCATCCCATCATATCCTCCTTTCTGTGTGCATAGTTGGTGTATGGATGAGCAAGCAGCATGATGGTGAATGTGAGCGATGCAAAGCAAAAGGAGAGCAGTGAAGCTGTCAATCTGGCAGTAAATGTACAGAGTAGCTTACAGTTTGTCCATGAAAAAAGGCTGCAGCTTACCAATGTAAAGCCCCTGTGTTTGTGTTGTTTCCCAACTGATGGAATAGCATGTGACTATTTGGCTAAATAACGATAATGTTCCAAGTGTGTGTACGTACATTTCCATCAAATTTGGCATGTCAACCAAGATCCTCAGCAACTTCTACAGATGTACAGTCGAGAGCATCATCACCAGCTCAGTTACAGTGTGGCATGGCAGC